CCCAACACCGACAGATGACAGCGGACGAAGTGCGTCGAATGGTATACGAAGCTTTCTCTGCGTCAAAGCATCTGCAGGAAAGACACCGTTTGGAGCATTAGGGTTTGTGTTGACCCGATAATTCAGCAGAAACAGTTTAAGAACTTATTCCGTCGTCTCCCCCTTTTGACTTCTAGAGAGCCCGCTTGATATTGTTGACGAATCACTCAGCCTATCCGGAAGACTGAGAGTGACATGGTATGAGCGTATATGAGTACTTCCTGACTGCTTGCAGAAGCGGACAAAGGCTGCTTATGAGAACTGGCCTCAATTATCGCTCATAAAAGTTTCAGAACACCCAAATCTGCTGAACAATTGCCGAGGACTGTGGATTGTCGCTCCGGCTGTCGTGCGCTAAATAAGAATAACTTCCAGCCATTCGCTATAGGCGTCAACAGTGACGGCGCCGAAGATGTGCTTTACAAATAAACCTTATTATTATTAAGGAGGTTTTGGCCAGTAAGCGGTCCAGCATAATCCATGTGGACCTTGGACCACGAGGTTTGTGGAACAGGCAATGCTTTGAATGTGGTCTTCGTTGGCGTGGCTTTATGGCATCCGTGTTAACTGGATCTGGCTGACGAGCAACTTGGTCGATTATGAAATCGAGGTTATCCACAGAAACTATGGAAGAATTGCGCTTCTCCAGATGTAGACGGAGAACATAGTCCTGAATCCGATTGAGCATTTTCTCTAAGCGTTGCAGCAGTTAATTTGGATTTGAACCAGTGACGATGATATCATCCAGATAGACAGCGACTCCTTCGTTGCCCGTCAGCGTGGTCTCCATGATTTGCTGGAAGATGGTGGGAGCAACTTTAAACCCAAATGGAAAACGGGTGAATTGGAACAAAACACGATGGATGTCCATGGTTAGAAGATCCCAGGATCGAGAAAAAGACTACTCGATCGCTGGGACAATACTTTTATTCGCCTGACGTTTCGAGATCCGCCGCGGATTCATCATCAGAGACCTAGTCAGATAGCAGTAGCAGATACGAGTCCGCTACCGAGATCGCAGGATTCTTCGTCTACCTCGATTTGAGACAGAGATATATTAATCAGTGATGACTTCTCCCCAAAAGTCGCTGAAAGTTGTTCACCATTTTCATCGAAGATGAAATCAGGAGGGCTTTTCGCCAAAACAATGTACGGGAACCGCTCGCGGTCTCTGATGTCCAGTTTGTGTAATAGAAGGCTCACTTTCGAAGGATCATCAGCTTTGGAAAATGTATTCTCAACGTTTAAACCAAGCGTCCAATGTCACGCCGGAATCGTGGTCGTAAGCAAACTCGATGATATAAGCAGCAACTGCGTCCGCTGACGTGGAACATTTCCATGGGGATTCTCGATCAGGAAAATGCTAACTGAATTTCTGCAGCATGGATTCTATCATCTTGAGGTAAGCCGCCTCGACTGAATTTGTTGTTGCGACAGGATAGTCAGCAATTGCTCCGTGGAGATAGACATAGTGAGCTCTGCGTTGCCAGTTTGTTATAAAATTGTTATAAGCCTAGATGTTCGCCGTCCAACTATGCCTAACTCGAATCCCCAGATGCGAAGACAACAACAAGGATGCAATAACGGAGGTCCATTGGTACAGCTTGTTTAAGGCAAGCAAAACCTTACAAACATGAATAAGATTGGACTTGTCAGTTATTGTCCTTAAGCGAGTAGCGACTCGATTGGCTTTCTGGCTAATCCGACAGGCGTGTTAGACTCTTAAGCCTGGCTGCAACTTGCGCGTCATCAGTACGTGCATTGTCGTTGAATCGATAGTGTGACATGGGAACGACTCGGTTACGCTGGCTCCTAACAGTGTATGAATGTATCCACTGATTGGGACACTAAAATCCCTTTGGTAGGCTAGTGTGCGGGCCATGACCCAGTTGGTACTTAAACAAATTCCCATATCCACTTTTGCTCGAGGCGTATGTGGTTTTAAGGGATGTTCTCGAAGGAAATGTTTAGTGGCAAGTTGGAAAATCATCACGGATGAAGGCGCCGTCCAAGCCGCACACGATACGGAAAGGATGTATAAGGTCTCCGCTTAACTACACACAACTCAACGAATAGGTATTAAGGTTATTTTAGCGGATCTTATAAGGCTGTGCACACTGACGTCTTGAATATTTGGAGGCATGTCGCTGCAGCCTTTTAAGAAGGTTGAACTCCTGTGTCGTACGCGGTCTCCAGGCCTGCATCGCCCATTCAAGATGTGACCCTATGATAGTACCAAACATTTTAGAAAAGCAATCTTCGTCAGAAACGGTAATTGCCCGCTTAATGGCGTACAACATTGCGGGCACAGCTTTAGCCGCTTTGCAACATAGTATAGAAAGTTTTAGGTTATCTGTCATCCGAAAGCCAAAATCCTTCGATATTTCTGCTTCTCCGAGTCACATTTCGTTAATATTATAGGCCCGCGAACCGAGGACCGGAGTTTGCTTTTCCATACGCAGCAGAATACATTTGATCGAGTCACCTGGGACCATCCGCGGGACCACTCGTTTAAACAACGAAGATTTTCCAGGAATTCGGCTTCGTCGGCAGCATGGTTGATGACTTTCCATATTAATTTATCATCCGCAGACATGGTACAATCACGGTCCAAATACTGTATACGACATGTACCGAACAAATGGAAAAGAGTCGGTCAGAGAATGGACCTAATGGTAATCGGGTTCATGTTGCGTGGGCTCTATTTAAAGTATAGGTAGAGCAATTTGTGATTGATAACTCATTGATAAAGGAAATCACTCTCGAAATTCCCTCTTTCAAAAATCAAACCCGATGGATCGCCAGGGTGGTTAAAAATATGGCAAGGAGATTTTCTACAAATCAGATTTAGGTAATCAAAAATAGACTCCTGTTCTCGGAAATGTCACATAGAACTGGAGTTTATTGAATGAGCGGTTGTTGCTGAGCCACGGTCCATGTTAAAAGCCTAGGATATTCAACCGACCTCAATGACTAACAAGAGATCCGTAACGAGAAATAAACCAGAGAAAACGGTTCTATAAGGGGTTTTTCGAAACCAACCACAACGCAACCATCAAGCAAAGTGAAGTTCAGAGGAACAAAGTGAAAATTTTTATTTTTAAAAGAAGACGGAATTTCGAGAATGATTTGCTCCACCAAGCAATTATCAATCCCAAATTGCTATACATATACTTGCAGAAGAGCATACGCAACAGGAATCCGATTCCCCATTAAGCAGACTGAAGACGTTTGCGAGATATTAGGCAGTACAAACCAAGCTGATATTTTTCTTAGTTTTTTGTCCGTTTTAACCAGAAAAACTGCGTTACTTCGATCTAGTGACGAGATTTGGAAAGCAACACTTATTCTGAATGCTCTGTCTCCACCAGCAATTTTTAAAATGCTGAAACGTAGGACTGTTTGCTGCAACCCGTTCGTCCGAGGTAGAAGTATTTGACTCGGTAAACCCTCAAAGACCTAGGCATCCCTCGGTTAAGGTAATTCTTTAAGATGCTTCTGGCCATCTTTTCACATGAAGACTCCTTAGTTATTTGCAAATGA